CACTAAACACTGTCTAATCTGACCCTTTCTTAACTCTTTGCCTACCTGACTCACTTTCCTTTATTCTACAGTACCTTTTAGCATACTGTGACTAGCACATTCCACCTGTCTTTGTCTATGAAAATCTTTCCAAGACCGCATTCAGCTTTCCTCTACTGGCACCATCCAAGTACTCTTCCCTGCATCTCCTTGGTCCTCATGATAATTTTCCCCGAACTCTGCGTGCATTTTATCCTTTACAGTTAAGCATTTGCTCCTTAAGGGTGGAAAATGTTTCACCACAGCATCACTAATGTAGTGCCTCAGTGATCGCCTGAGGTCCTAATAAAGAATCAGCATCAGAGCAAGCCAAAAGAGTAATCATCCCATTTAAGGATCATTGGCCTATTAAAATGCTTCTGAACATTCAAAACTAATGAAGGCAAAAGCTTAATGCTGGGGTCAGGAAATCTATCCTGTATTTTACAAACATTCATACAGCACTTAGAACATAATAGGCACTGCTCTAAGTATCTTATAAATATTAACTCATTTAATTCCCATAACAACCTTATAAGATAGAAACTATTACTAATTCATTTTGCAAATGAGAAAAAGCATACAAAGATAAAATAATTTATCCAAAATCACTGAGCCACTATTTGAAGCCAGTGTTCAAAATCAATGCTCTTAAAAACTAAGCTATGCAATAAACAAAAACAATCCTGACTGCCTTTAAAATGACAAAAGATTTAGAAAAATAAAATCACCTACCCTAAAAAAAAAAAAAAAAAAAAAACACACAAGATTACTATTTTACTTTTTACTAAAAGTTGATTTAAAACGTGCTAGAGGGACGCCTGGGTGGCTCAGTTGGTTAAGCAGCTGCCTTCGGCTCAGGTCATGATCCCAGCGTCCTGGGATCAAGTCCCATATCGGGCTCCTTGCTTGGCAGGGAGCCTGCTTCTCCCTCTGCCTCTGCCTGCCTCTCTGCCTACTTATGATCTCTGTCTGTCAAATAAATAAATAAAATCTTTAAAAAAAAAAAAAAAAAAAGTGCTAGAACTCCAAATTACATTGTAGTAGAGATCAAAGCTCCCCCCCCTCCGGCCCAAATGGCAAGAGGTACCTAATTATTTTAATTCACAAAACAGTGTCATGTGACACTTGGGCTTTTAACACTACAGCTCCTATTATTTTTTCCTACTTCCTTTAGGAACACATTACTAACTATGCTTTCTGTCAGCTTCTCAAATGATATGTTCTTCCTGTCTCATTTTTCCAAAATCTTTAAATAGCTTCTATCCGGTTGTGAGGCTTGGACCTAACACAAATGTCACATCTGGCCTCTTGAAAAATTCCATCCGCTTCACCTTGGAGCCACACTTATGTTAAAGGTCAAGAAAAGATGCCCTGTAATGTAGCCAATCCACCCTCACTCACAAGTAATGCTTCCTGCAAAACAGATCCAATATGCTACACGAGACAGGTGACACCTGGGAACACAATATAGATGACAGCTGCAAGCTGAATGTGAGGGTAATCGGGGTAATCACCAGCCCACTGGGTAGAACTTTGAAACTCTGTAAAAGGGCATACTGACACACAATTTCAAATAATATGACACTGCTATGAATGGTGGGTAGCAAAAGCAAGAAGCAGACTGTCCAGAGTTGCTCCTTTCAAGCAATGATATCAGGCAGATCCTAGGAAAAGGCAGCGGTGGAAAGAATGGGTTTGGGGTCTTTTTGATTTTTTTTTCCATGGGTAAAGAGAAACTGGCTACACTTTATTCACTATGAACAGTGCCAAAACAGAAAGAGACATGGAGAAGAACGCAAAATAATGTCTAAATATTAAGTCTCAATAATTAATAAAAAAATAAATAGTAAATATTAAGTCTCATGTGATATAAAATTTACACTGAGAAGGATCTTTAAACTTCAGACATTCTACTCATTTTAACAGTTTGGCAAACCATAGCCTATGCACCAAATCTAGTCAGTAGACTGTCTCTGTACAGCCTTGAGCTAAGAATGCTTTTTGGGTTTGTTTTTGTTTAAAGATTTGATTTGAGAGAGAGAGAGAGAGTACGTGTGTGCAAGAGATCAAGAGCAGCAGGGAGAGGCAGAGGGAGAGGGAGAAGCAGACTCCCTGCTGAGCAGGAGTCCTATGCAGGGCTCCATCCCAGGATGCTGGGATCATGACCTGAGCCAAAGGCAGACCCTTAACAGACTGAGCCACCCCACCCACGTGCCCCTGGTTTGTTGTTGTTGTTGTTGTTTTAAAGATTTTATTTATTTGAGAAAGAGAGAGAGAGCATGAGAGGAGAGAAGGTCAGAGGGAGAAGCAGACTCCCCGAAGAGCTGGGAGCCTGATGTGGGACTTGATCCGGGAACTCCAGAATCATAATCTGAGCCGGAGGGGCAGTGGCTTAACCAACTGAGCCACCCAGGCACCCCCGTGCCTCTGTTTTTAAGGGCTGTAAAAAAACAAAAAGAATAGGAACAGAAACTGTGGCCAGCAAAGCCTAAAACAGTTACCGAAAGACTCTTTACAGAAGAAATTTGCAGAGCCCTAGGTTAAAAAATGCAAAGAAACAGGTGAGTGTAGTGATTCCATCAGTGGTTCATATATTAATTTAAAAAAAAAATTACTGGAGTTCACTATTATTCTCCAGCCAACAGAATGAACTGTATTCAAAGTCTGCACCTATGAAAAGTCTGACGTCCACTTTCAGTCCTTTGGCTCTTATTGTCTTCTCACTTCAGTCAGAAACTGGAAAAATACGTGGAAGGGGATAAAAAGTGAAACTGGATGTATTAGATTTTAGGACAACCTGTAGATTATTCTTACAAATCACATACTTTGTCTTCCCCGAACCATTCAGGAAGCAGGCTATACCTCTTTGTATTTTTATAAGACAGCTATTATTTATCACTTATCCCATGACAACCACCATACTCAACCCTTCACATGTATAATTTCATTTCGTTTCTTCCCTCCCACAGAAGGTTAGTGTCCTAAGGATTGAGGTTTTGTCTTTGTTCACTAACAAAGCCCCAAGGCCAAAAGAGCACTTTGCAGGAGCACAATAATCTTTTTTTTTTTTAAGAGTTTATTTATTTATTTGACAGACAGAGATCACAAGTAGGCAGAGAGGCAGGCAGAGAGAGGGGGGAAGCAGGCTCCCCGCTGAGCAGAGAGCCCGATGCGGGGCTCGATCCCAGGACCCTGAGATCATGACCTGAGCCGAAGGCAGAGTCTTTAACCCACTGAGCCACCCAGGCACCCTGAATATCTTTTATTATTAAGGAAGACTCACAGGTAGACGAGTTGAGCACTATTATCACTCAGATGGGGAAACTGAGGCAACGAATTTGACCCGGGCCATCGTGTCAAAGCTGGAACCTGAACTCAGGCAGCCTGACTCTCCAGCCTGGGTGAAGCACTATGATGCTGGCCGCCCTAATGTCTTCCATACAGAAACCCCACGTGAATGTCTAACTTTTGTTAAACTATAAATGTGTGATTATAATTGCTTCATTATAGCAACTAGCACAGCCAGTTTTAAATTTCTTATTCTCAAATGGATGACCTGTGTTATGAAAAAACATACACAAGTCAGAATGTCTCCATGTGTTCCAGCAAAAGTGCCACTTTTCTAAGGGGTGCAATGATTTTTTGAAGTTTTATAAAACAAAATATAAGTGCAAAAGGTCTGTAACAGTTAAGTCCATTTCTTTTTGTTGTTGTTAAGATATATTATTTGAGACAAAAAGAGAGAGCAGGGGAAGGGACAGAGGGACAGGGAGAGAGAATTTCAGACTCCCTACCCAGGGCTAGATCTCAGGACCCTGAGATTACTGATGCCAGCCAAAATCAAGAGTCACACCCTTACCCTACTGAGCCACCCAGGTGCCCCACAGTTATGTCCATTTCATGTTTAAAGAAAAAGCTGCGGTGTTACTTGTACTTCATGTATATCAAATTTCTGCTGGTTAGAAATCAGAGGGAAAAAAACACAAATCAAAAGAAAGTCCAAAAAACAAATACAATCAGGACAACTACAAGCAGGCAGTTACCGAAAGACTCTTTACAGAAGAAATTTGCAGAGCAAATACTGATGCAGAAATACTGAGCTGTACACACAGCGGGCCCTCACTCAATCAATGCTTTTGGAAGAAATGAAAAAGGTGACAAGTCCTTTTTGCGTTTTATAAACCTCCTTGGTGTGTACAGTACGAAAAGCTACAGGACAAGAAGCATGGAGTACCAGTCATGTAAATGATGCCTCCAGATATAATGAAAACCTGGAAGTGAGAAGACTCCCATGGTGCAACAGCATGAAGGAAAATAAGTAACAAAAAATGATAATAAACAGCATCTGTAAGAGCTGGAACCCCGAGCCGTCCAGGCTTTTCACTAAACCAAGGAAAGGAGAAACTGAATGAGAAATGGGAGGGCGGCGTCATCACACTGCTATCTTCAATCTACCTCCCACAAGGGTACCCAAAACTCTCCCCAGAAAGAGCTGCTACGGAGAAGCGGTCAAAGGGCCAGCTCAGCGACGAGCGACAGCGGCCTCCCACTCAGCAGCGCCCGGTAGAGGTGCGGCGATTACTTCGGTCCCGAGGAATCCCGGGCCGGGTAGGAAGCGCGGACGTCTCAGCCCCACCCGCACCAATTCAAACCCCGGAGGCGGGGCCTGCGATGACCGTGTTTAGCCACGCCCCCAGAGGCGTCTCCGGCCCGCTCAAGTTCGAAAACTACCACCTTAGTTGCGTTTGGTGAGGAAAAGGCAAGGAAGCCGCGCGGAAAGGCTGTGAACGGGGACTAGGGAGGTTCGATAACTAAAACCAGACCCCAGGGAAGGTACGGACTCTGCTCGCCGGCCGACTGCCCGACGGCAAGGGGAAGAGGGATCCCGAGGGTTGGAAAGATCCCCGCCCCCTCCCCCGAGACTGGGGCGACCCCTGCCCCCCGCCCTCGCAGCCATCCGCCGGAGGGTCCGTCTTTACCAACGCGAGCAGCGTAGCAGCTTCTCCAGCCGGTCGAGCGCGGCGCGGCTGTGGGCCCAGGCCCCGCGCCCCTCCGGCTCCATACTGGGCGCGGGACCAGGCTCGTTCCCGGAGCGGACCCTTGGCTGCCGGTTCCCCGGCATCGCCCCGCCTTCCCGGCAAGGGCACCTCAGAGGGCTAGAGCCGCGGCAGACTCCGGCAACGACCGAGACCGCCGGCCTGCGACCAGACCCCCGCCCGAGCGGTCCCCGAGTCTGGGCCGGCGGGACGCTGGGCGGGGGCGGGGCCCGAGGGGCGGGGCCGCGGAAACGCGCCAAAAGCCAGGGCGCGCGGGACAGGGAGGGGTGGGGCCTGCGGTTGGCGGGAAAGGGGGCGGGTCCAGACAGCCCGGAGGGGTGAAAATGAGAAAAAAATGCAGGTACTTGACTTTCCTGAACCCTTGGCTCTAGAGACTGTCGGCAAGGCTTAAGGGATGGAAAGTCACAAACCGAGGAATTTTTGGTTGAGAGTCATCTCTAAGGAGTGCTATTTCGGCTACGGGAAAGCTAGGAAAAGTTTTGATCATGACACTGAATGTGCCCCCTTCTTCTAAAAAAGTAACTTTCTCCTCCCTTCCACCTTTTCGAGGCTTTTTGTTTTGTTTGTTAAAGCTGTGTCTACCCTCCACGTAAGAATCCTTCATTGACCATCATATTATATGGACAACAGAGGCAGAGAACTCTTCACCCTTCCCATTCAGTCCACTCCCAGATCTTTGCATCCCCCTCCCCAACACTTACTCTCAAATCTACCCACTTCTGTCTTCACCACAGGCCCTTTGTCTCATTCTCACCTAGATTGTTCCCAGAGCCTTCTGGCTAATATCCCTGTGTCCACCCAAGTCCTCTCCAATCCTTAGGCTACACTGTAACCATCTAAAACGTTTCGATTGTGTAAGACTGATGAGTCACAGACCTGTACCCCTGAAAAAACTTAATACATTATATGGTAAAAGTAAAATAAAATAAAATAACATTTCCAAATAAACCCTTGGTTAGTAGAGCAGAATGGATAAAACTAAGTAAAATCGTATAGGGTATAATAACATGGTAAACTAACCCAATTTTTTTTAATACAGTAATTCAACAATTCTAAATATTACTGAAGATAAATGTAATCTTTTTTTTTAAAGATTTTATTTATTTATTTGACAGAGAGAGATCACAAGTAGGCAGAGAGAGAGGGGGAAGCAGGCTCCCCGCTGAGCAAAGAGCCCGATGTGGGGCGTGATCCCAGAACCCTGAGATCATGACCTGAGCCGAAGGCAAGAGGCTTAACCCACTGAGCCACCCAGGTGCCCCAAATCCATTTTTTTTCTTAAACTCACAGGTAATCATGAAATTGATTGTTAACCCTGTTAAGCCATTGCTTACTCTTTGCAGAGCCTCAGAGAAATCAAACTCTAGAAATGCTGAACTTGAAGAGACGCTATGGTGTGTGTAATGGAGTAAATTGGGGATTTCAGAAGCCAAACAGTCCTACTTATAATCCCACTTCCTCTATTATATAATTATGTGATTTAAATCAAGTCTTAAGTTGTCTGAACATTAGTTTCCTATAAGGTGAGAATAATATATTCTGTAGATCTGGAGAATTATTGAAGGAGATAAATGTAAAATCATCTACATCATAACTACTCAATCAACAGTAGCTAATATTAATATAATTATATATATGTGTGTGTATATATATATATATGGATATCCATTTCTGTTAATGCTTTATTTACCACAGAATAGCACTGAATTTTTTTACCAGAGAGCCCAATATGGGGCTTGATCCCAGGACTCTGAAATCCTGGCCTAAGCCAAAGGCAGAAGCCCAACCCACTGAGCCAACCCAGGCGCCCCTATGAGATGCTTTTTTAATTAGGGCATAATATGTGATGCTGTAAGGGCCTATTTAGCTAGAGCAGCTCTATCCAGTTAAACAGTGATTTTGTTGTTTACGCAGTAAAAGTTAAACTGACCCTGCCCCACCCCCCAGGGGAACCTACTTAAAAGCAAGTCCCGGAAACCAGTAAAATATAGTCGACCAGTCCCTGATAACAGAGCCCAAATACAAGGGCGGGTCAGGTCAGGTGGAGATAACTGCCCAAATGCAGGAATGAGTCGGGCCTGGTGGAGACGTCCAATCAGTGGGGCGTGCGTACTGTCTCCCTAACTACCAAGGAGTGTGCAGGCTCAACCACAGGGCCTTTGCTCTATAAAACTTAGTCTGTAAGGCAGGGAGGGGTCGCCCTCTCTGTAAGAGGCGGCCCCCAATGGTCGGTTTGATTCTCAATGCTTGGCACGAAATAAAGCTTTGCTTGACATTCGCTTTTTATCAGTCTCGTTCCTTTGATTATGGACCTAACAATGCCATGGTGGCTCAGTTATTTAAGCGTCTGCCCTCAGATCAGGTCAGGATCCCAGGGTTGTGGAATCAAGTTCCATATTGGGCTCCTTGCCCACAGGGGAGCCCGCTTCTCCTTCTACCTACCCTCCCCCTGCTTGTGCTCTCGCTCGCTCTCTCTCCTGCACACTCTCTCTGGCAAATAAATGAATAATATCTTAAAAAATAACTACTACATAATGTAACTGATGAGAGTAAATGCAAATTTCACATTTTGGTAAAATGCTGTAAGGATCAAACAATTGTCACTGGCCTATTTGTGTGGTGCTGATAAATGAATTGTGATACAGGGGCAATGATAACATTAGTTTCTTTTTCTTTCCCTCTGCCATTGCCCCAGTACCTCTCCCCAAATCTCATGAAATTCCCAGCAGCTGTTTGATGGTGGCCATAATAAACTCATCAAGAGAATAAGCAAGGTTACTCCCCATCTGCAACTTTCCCTTCCACTTCCTTCCTTCCAGTCCTGCCCTGTTACAGTGCAAATGGCTGACAATTTACTTGCTAAATTCCAGTATAATTTGCACAGTGTTATATTAGTTACCAGGTGTATAATATAGTGATTCAGCAATTCTATATACTCAGCGCTCATCACAATTAGTGTACTCTTGGGGGGCCTGGGAGGTTCAGGTCATGATCTCAGGGTCCTGGGATTGAGCCCCATGACTGGCTCTCCGCTCAGCAGGGAGTCAGCTTCTCCCTCTTCCTCTGCCTGCCTCTCTTTCTCTGTCAAATGAATAAATAAAATCTTTGGAAAAAAAAAAAGGCCGTGTACTCTTAATCTCTTTCATTTATTTCACCCATCCCCCTACCCATGTGCCCTTTGGTAACTACCAATTCTTTATATGTAAGAGTCTGTTTCTTGATTTGTCTTTTTTTTTCCTGTGTTCATTTGTTTTGTTTCTTAAACTCCACATTTTAAAAATTTTATTTATTTATTTGTTTATTTGACAGATCACAAGTTGGCAGAGAGGCAGGCAGAGAGAGAGGTGGAAGCGGGCTCCCTGCTGAGCAGAGAGCCCGATGTGGGGCTCAATCCCAGAACCCCGAGATCATGACCTGAGCCAAAGGCGGAGGCTTAACCCACTGAGCCACCCAAGCACCCCTAAATTCCACATTTGAGTGAAATCATGGTGTTTTATTTTCTCTGACATGCTTATTTCACTTAGCATAATACCCTCTGGATCTACCCATGTTGTTGCAAATAACAAGATGTCATTATTTTTATGACTGAGTAATATTCCATTGTGTGTGTGTGTGTGTGTGTGTGTGTGTGTGTGTACATCTTTATACATTCATCTATGGATGGACATTTGGGCTGCTTCCATATTTTTTTTAAATATTTTATTTATTTATTTGATGCAGAGACATCACAAGTAGGGGGAAGCAGGCTCCCTGCTGAACAGAGAGCCCAATGCGGGGCTTGATCCCAGAATACTGAGATCATGACCTGAGCCGAAGGCAGAGGCTTAACCCACTGAGCCACCCAGGCACCCCGGGCTGCTTCCATATTTTGGCTATTGCAAATAAAGGGTGCATGTACCTTTTTTTTTTTTTTTAATTAACACATAATGTATTATTCGCCCCAAGGATACCAGTCTGTGAATCATCAGGCTTACACACTTCACAGCACTCACCATAGCACATACCCTCCCCAGTGTCCATCACCCAGCCACCTTATCCCTACACCCCCACGGCCCCAGCAACCCTCAGTTTGTTTCACGAGATTAAGGATCTCTTATGGTTTGTCTCCCTCCTGATCCCATCTTGTTGCACATTTTTCCCTCCCTAACCCCCACGACCTCCAGCCCTGCTTCTCAAATTCCTTATATCAGAGAGATCATATGATAATTGTCTTTCTCTGATTGACTTATTTCACTTAGCACAATACCCTCTAGTTCCATCCACATCATTGCAAATGGCAGGATTTGGGGGGTTTGATGGCTGCATAGTATTCCTGTGTGTGTGTGGACACCACATCTTCTTTATCCATTCGTCTGTTGATGGTCATCTAGGTTCTTTCCATAGTTTGGCTATTGTGGACATTGCTGCTATAAACATTCGGGTACACATGCCCCTTCAGATCACAACATTTGTATCTTTGAGGTAAATACCCAGTAGTGTGATTGCTGGGTCATAGGGTAGCCCTATTTTCAACTTTTTGAGGAACCTCCATACTGTTTTGTGTTCTTTGGGTTAAATACCCAGTAGCAGAATTACTGGATCATATGATAATTCCATTTTTAACATTTTGAGGAGCCTTCACACTGTTTTCCAGAGTGACTGTGTTGCACAAGAATGAGACAGGGTTCTTGTCTCAGAGTCGAAGAACGAATCTCACAGACACAAAAGGGTGAGGTGAAGTGAAAAGTTCATTAAGTGAAGGTGAGAGTTGAAAGGAGAGGAAAAAGCTCTTTGGAGTGAGAGAGGTCCTGAATGGGTTGCCACTGAGGGCTTTTAGTGTCAGTCTTTGATTGAGAACTGACTGGAAAGCTTGTGGCCTTGAGATTCTTGGGCTGTCTTGGTTTGTTCCCTTACCTCTTGTTCCTGCTCTGTCTCAGCGTCTCCACCTGCCAGGAATAGCTTCAGAGCCGAGCCCAGGCTCCTGCCTAGACCTTAACCACTTCCCTACTCAAGGGACAGGACCTGTGGGCAGAAGGGCTGTACTGGGATTGTGAGGAGTGCCTGATTGTATACTTTTTAATTAGTGGGGCTAGGGATAGGGCAAGACCCAGGGAATCTGGAAGCAAAGCTCTCAGTACCTTGAGGGG